AAAAACAAATAATATAGTATATATGTATATATCGAAAATATACATAAAGTATACCGAAACATTTTCCCAATAATAGAACAGAAATATATTAGATTATTTGAAATATTCAAGTTAAGTACCCTGAAACAATTTAACCTTTAACTACCATTAAATTATATATTTAAGTTATTCAATTCAACGAATTCTGTGAATTTTAACCACTTTTGGCTTACGCACCATAAACTGTCTAACTAATGCGAATATGCAAAAAAATAAATAAGAGAAAACATATGTATATTTACGTTCCTGTTTTCAAAAACTATGCCGAATATATAAAGAAAACTATCACATGCTAGCAGTTATACAAATAGTACAGTTAGTAAATCAATAAACTTTCAACCGGTTTTAGTTATGCCATAAAAACAGCTTTTATTATAATTTCATCTCAAAAATAAAAAGCTTTATTTACTACCTCTATACTTAGATTAAAAAGAATGCAAATATTTGAAACGTGATAGCAATCACTTTTTTCTCATTCGTTAAGGGCTAAGTATGAGCAAAAGCACTTTATTGTTCTCTGCTTATATTGTAAAGTAAAAGAGATTTAAGCTACAGAAAAACTATAAATAAATAAATATCATGCAACTCAACCGTGAGTGTAATAATTTGAAAAAACAATCAAAATTGTGTGAATAATTCAGTGACAAAGTAAAAAAATCCCCTCTAAATTTACAACAAAAAACTATATAAATATGTTAATCGATTTAATTTAATATTACTTTATAAATATTCCGTTGCATTAATTAGTTATTAGACATGACATGAGAAAATGCGCTATTATTCTGGCACAAGTTGTTAATTGTCTAATTGGTAGACTGATTTATTTAAAACGAATTATGATGTATTGTCGGAGACGAGTTCGAAATTATTAATATAATGAGTACAAAATTCGTTTGCACCTGGACTTAGCCCTTCTTTAGTCGGTATATTTGTGATGGAATGTGTCAAAGGCGCTATTTTATGCTTGACTTTTATAAAGAAAAGTATAAGAATCATATCATTTAATATTTTTTTAATCGGCAATTTTCACACTAAAACATAGAAATGTACTAATGATGCTACATATGTGTCCAATTTAATTGAAATTGGTCAAATATTCACTTAACTTAACCGATTTTGTTTTTAAAAGTATTAGAAATGTTAACGCACCATTGTTTCTATCCTTCCTTTGATTGACATGGACCTTGGCCATCCATGACAATGTGATTTACATATTCTTTGTTTTAAAATGTACCCAATCCCCATGATGGAAAAAATATTTAAACGCAATTTTACCCGTGACCAGTTCTTCTAACCACTGCACCCATGCTAAATAGCTCTAAGCGCTTTCAGTTTTAAAATGTCTTTGCAAATTAATAT